AGATATGTATGGAATGAAGCAAGATACACATTAACTTGTTAATGTGTATCTTATTAGAAGGGTGACACAGGAAGGTTTTAGAGAACTTGAATGCTGAAGAGGTTTTTGCAAGATGGGTTGTTTACCAGGTGTAAAGAAGGGGAAGAACATTTCAGGAAGGAGGAACTGCATGTGAAAAGGCACAGAGGCATGAACAGTATAGTGTATTTAGGAACCAAACTAGTTCAGCATTGCCCCAGCACCTGATGCAAGAGCTGAAGTGAAAGGCAAAAGGCAGGTGACAGACAGTTTTATCTGTCATCATAGGGGACTTAGCTCGAGAGACCAGGGAGAGGCAATAAAGAAACTGGTGATACCATCAGGTATACATGGATCATTCTGGGATTTTTTTTAATTTTATATAATGATGAAGGATTTTTTAAATTGTATGTAATGACTACTATATAAACACAGAGAAAAATAGAGTAGTATAATGAACTACTACAGACAAAGATTTAACAATTATTAATATTTTGAAATAGTATTTATTGAAGAAAATTTCAAGAATAAACAAAAGTGAGAAAATAAGACAATAAAGCTCTATGTACCCATGAATCAGTTTTAACAATTATCAACTCATTGCCAATCTTATGTATGTTCCCACACGTCCCTTCGTTACCAGATTTTTGAGGGACATTCCAAATATATCATTTAGTCTGTAAACATATAAATATATATCTCTAAAGAAAGACACATATAAAAACCACAATATCACCATCATATCTAAGAAATAAGGATTTCTCTTTTTTTTTTTTAAGGAAAGTTACTTTTTAAAAATTCTTTCAATAGGTTTTTGGGAAGCAGGTGCTCTTTGGTTATATGAATAAGTTCTTTATTGGTGCTTTCTGCTTTCACCCAAGCAGTGTACACTGTACCCAATGTGTAGTCTTTTATCCCACCACCCTCTCCCACCTTTTCCCCGAAGTGCCCAAAGTCCATTGTATCATTCTTAGGCCTTTGTGTCCTCAGAGCTTAGCTCCCACTTTTTTTTTTTTTTTTTAAGTTTTTTAGATGGAGTCTTGCTCTTGTTGCCTAGCCTGGAGTGCAATGGCGTGATCTTGGCTCACTGCAACCTCTGCCTCCTGGGTTCAAGCAATTCTCCTGCCTCAGCCTCCTGAATAACTGGGATTACAGGCACCTACCACCATATTTGGCTAATTTTTGTTTCTTTAGTAGAGACAGGGTTTCACCATGTTGGCCAGGCTAGTCTTGAGCTCCTAACTTCAAGTGATCCACTTGCCTCGGCCTCCCAAAGTGTTGGGATTACAGGCATGAGCCACCGTGCCTGGCCAGCTCCCACTTATGACTGAGAACATACAATGTTTGGTTTTCCTTTCCTGAGTTATTTAACATCATCAAATATCCTGCCAGCATTTAAGTTCCAGTTTACCTCATAAAGATATCTATTTGAATTGTGATTCAAATAAAGTTTATATATTGCACAATTGTAATGCTCCTGAAATGTCTTTTTTGGTTGTTTAATCAATCCTTTATTTGTAGACATTTGATTCATTAAAACATTTTAATTGTAGTAAACACACATAACATGAAACTTATCACCTTAACCATTTTAAGTGTACATTTCGGTAGTATTAAGTACATTCACATTATTGTGGAACCATCACCAATGTCTATCTCCAGAACTCTTTTTATCTTGCAAAACTGAAATTCTGTATTCATTAAACAATAACTTCCCACTCCACACTCTCCTCAACATCTGGAAACTGCCATTCTTTCTGTCTCTACAAATTTGACTACTTCTAAGTACTGCATTTAAGCAGAATCATACAGTATTTGTCTTTTCGTGAGTGCCTTATATGATGTAGCATAATGTCCTCAAGATTCATCCATGTTGTAGCACAGGTCAGAGTTTCCTTCCTTTACAAGGCAGAGTAATATTTCATTGTATGTATATATCTTGTTTATCCTTTCCTCCATTGAAGGACTCTTGTGTTGCTTCCACATTTTGATGATTGTAAACAATGCTGCTATGAACATGGGTATAAAAATATCTCTTTGAGACTCTGCTTTCAATTTTGTGAGACATTCACAGAGTAAAGTTTCTGGATCTTATGGCAATTCTTTTTAAGTTTTTGAGGAGCCTGTATAATGCTTTCATAGCAGCTGCACCAACATTTCTCCACCAACATTTCTCAAGAATTTAATTTCTCTACATCCTCATTAACAATTGTTATTTTTTGGTGTTTTCATAGTATCCATCCTAATGTGTGTAAACTGGTATCTCATTGTGGTTTTGATTTGTACTCCCCTAATCATTAGCGACTTTGAGCATCTATTCATGTGCTTATTGACCATTTATAGATCTTCTTTGGATAAATGTCTGTTCAAGTCCATTGCCTATTTTTTTAACCATTTTGGTTTTTTATGTTGACTTGTCTTAGTTCCTTAATATTCTGGATATAAACTCCTTGTCAGATATATGATTTGCAAATATTTTCTCCCATTCTGTGGGTTGCATTTTATTTTGTTGATTATGCCCTTTGATGCACAGATGTTTTAAATCCTAATGTAGTCCAATTTATCAATTTGATGCACAGACGTTTTAAATCCTAATGTAGTCCAATTTATCAATTTTTTAAATTTGTTGTCTGTGCTTTGGTTATCACACATAGAATTTCTAAAACACAAAACTGCTAAGAGTTCATACTGACAGTTTCCAATTCAAATTCTGCACTACAAGTTTTTTCTTTTTAGCTTAACTTTATCAAGCTTTTAAAAATTTTTATTTTTTAATTAACGAATAATAAGTGTACATATTCCTGAGTTACATAGTGAGAAAATTGAACTGGACAGCATATAACTCAGGAAATAGGGAGTAAAATTATGGTCTCCAGCCTAATCCCTACCTTCTTGAGCAAAACAAAGAATGTAGTTTTGTTCATGACCAGTCAAGCTATCTGAGATGTCCTCAAGACCAAATGAGTCTGTAATTACAAAGACACATTCCATATATTTCATATTGGTAAGTTAGAGAACCTTTTATGAAAAGTTTGACACTAACAATAGAAAACCACATGCATAATATGAAATGGAGAATAATCTTTCACAATAGTCCAACTAGACATGTAGATTATCATCTCATTTATTCAAGCATTCTGTAATTTTGTAACATAATAAAATACTACAGAGTATTTGACTGTCAGGGATTGTGCCAGGTGCTCGGAGTACAAAGACAAACAATATGTGCTCTTTGACAAAGAACTCACAGACTAATTGGGGAGAAAGACATGCAGGAAAATACTCAGCATATAGGGTAGAGATATGTGAGAGGTACTAAGGGAGTTGGGGAATTGAGGGAAACTCAGTCCAGAGGTGGGATGGGGAAATGAAACAGAAAAGATAGTTTTCATTGAGTAGGTGACATATGCAGGAGGTTGATCAGCTGAACTTCATGTGATGGATAAGGAGCATAGTATGAACTGGAAATGGACAGGAACACTTCTGAGAGGTTTGTGGTGTGGATGTACCACTATGTCCCTGGTGTTTTATGGAATCACTTTATTTTAGTGTGGAGTGTGAAATGGAGGTGGTAGTAACCGGCAGTGGGAAACCGCTTAGAAAGTAACTTCAAGAATACAGACGAGGCCCTGAACTAAAGGGCAAAGAAAAATCAAGAGGAATTTAGAAAGTAGAATTAAAAGCACTTGGTGACGGATTGGATGTAAATAGTAAGAGAGAAAAGGGTCAGAAATGAATAGAACTTTTTAGTTTCGACAGTGGGGTCATTAACTAGGAAATGAAATTTTCGAAAAAACAGAGATTTAGCAGGGAGAAAAGGAAATAATGAGTTGAGTTTGGAGCACACCAAATACATGCTTATGGGATATGTAGGTGCAGTGATTATTAGGGAATAGTAGCAGACGGGAGAAGAAGGTAGAGAAGAGAAATTTTCTGGGTAAGATCTATCCAGAGAAAACATCTACTTTGAGAAAATGTCAACCATAGAGCCCTATGTATACCACCATTTGGGGAAGGCAAAATAATTGTAGGAGAATGAAGGAGATTTAAAATTCGTAGCCAGCAGAAATACAGAAGAAGAGTCAAGGTGGAGACACTTCCCTGAAGCCTATCAAGGAGAAAGAACTAAGGAAGAAGTCAAGAGTGTCAGATGCTGTAAAGAGATAAAAATAGAACAGGAATAAAATGCTGATTTTATTGGGCAGATAAAGATGTAATTTGTGACAGTGAATAAAGTTTCAGTAGAATGTGAGATTAGAAACCAGATTTCAGTCCATTGGGATGGGGCAGCAACTAAAGAATCAAAAAGCATGAGAATAATGGGTGCTATTCATTAAATACCTAATCTTTCAAAATATTATGGTATTGTGGCATTTTACTTGAGAGAAGTGGACTTGCTTAAGGCCCCCAGGCTAGTCAGTGGCAAGATAAGCATTTTAACATAGGATTGTCCAGTTTCCAAACGGGCACTCCTTTTGCTACAATATATTTTTCTTAAAATTTGCCCGTGAAAGGATGAGGGAGAAATTGGTGGACTGTCAGGAAACAATTGTCAAGGGAATGTTCTTTCTAAAATGGTAGAAACTCGAGCATGCTTTCAGGTATATGGGAAGGAGCCAGTGGAAAGGGAAGAGAGATAGGTAATGAAGGTCACTGAAGACCTAGTAGTAACTAGAACACTCATGTCCTTCTAAGAATAAGCAATTCTACAGGGCGCAGTGGCTCACGCCTATAATCCCAACACTTTGGGAGGCTGAGGTGGGTGGATCACGAGGTCAGGAGTTCAATACCAGCCTGGCCAAGATGATGACACCCCATGTCTATTAAAAATACAAAATTAGCTGAGCAGGTGGCAGGTGCCTGCAATCCCAGCTATTCGGAGGCTGAGGCAGAGAATTGCTTGAACCCAGGAGGCGGAGGTTGCAGTGAGCCAAGATCACGCCACTACACTCCAACCTGGGTGACAGAGTGAGACTCCATCTCAAAAAAAAAAAAAAAAAAAGAGCAAGCAATTCCATGTACTAGTAATTATTTATTCAATTTGCTCTTCCCAAAGATTTTCCTCATAACATCAAATCAACCTTTCAGGTCTCATAATTTTATTAACTGAAAAAAAGTAAATATTTTATATAATCTCAAAGATCATCTTTGGTCCTAAAATTTTATCTTTATAGCTTTTCCTTTAAAGTCTGCCATCCCAGAACTAGAAAGAACTAACGTGGTTTCTGTTTCTGTCTCCAACCTAAATTTGCCACAAATATTCCTGCCTCTAAGAGTTAGCTAGCAGGAATATCATCAACACTAAGTTTAATTATGTTTAACTTTAGATAATAGAGCAAAATCTTTGCCAAGAGACACCTGGCTGAATTCATGCATAGAAGTACCATCATCATCAATTGTTGAGTCTGGAGATATGGCATTCTTGATAAAGAATTGCCTTTGAGCTGTCTAAACTTGAGCAACCAGTATTGGGACTTTTTTCTTCCATTCATTCATTTTGATCTGATATCTTTATGAGGGACTCCACCCAGCAGGTGTTCAGAGGTTTAAAATGCCATTATTTTCACCTGTCTGGGGTATGAAACATGTCCTTTTGACATAAAGTTCTTCCAGGCTGTCTAAACATTGTAGGCAGCCACTGAGAATCACAGATAAGGTCCTGGGGGAATACTGACAGTGGGAGTAGAAATTTTTTTCTTTATGTCATTTTTTAAGCACCCCTAATGCATTACAAATCATCTCTGGTCTATTTACTTACTGGCTCCAACTTTTACGCTGCTTCTTCTGGGGGTATTTTTTTTCAATAGTGGCATTTGCCAGCTTTTCACATTTCTTTGACATCTTTGGAACAATCATTATACAAGTCTTGGTAGTCCTGATATGTGGCTTTCTGTGGCTTTCCTCAGTGATAATTTCTATGTGCGTATAATGAGCATTTATAGAATGCCCAAAACAGTTTACATTTCCACGATCTAGATGCAGAAGTAGTTGGGGAAATTTTGTAGCCACAAATCTGCTCCTTGTTTGGAAAACTTCCCTAAGATAGCCTACAATCAAATCACCCATCTCCTTGGAGACACAGGAATTTGTACTTATGATCCATGGGAAATCTCAGGTAAGTATGCTCGGACAGGATATTATCCCCATGTTAGTGCCATTGTGAAGAATTTATTAGAGCACGGGGAAGTAACGGTCATGTGTATTTTCTTCCCAGGCATGTGCATGATCATGCATTCTCAAGGCTGGGTTATTTTCTACTTTGAGGGCTTAAGTGCTGAGAGTATGGACAGTGTTCTATAGCACAGAGTGTCCTCATCCAGCCTCTGCCTGCCTCCTTCTCTACAAAGACTTTGATCTTGTTTCACAGGGAAAATTAAGGCCAATGGTCATGAGCTTAATCAACATCTTCCCCAAGCATCTCTAATCCAATCCCCTTATCTGCCCACTTTCAATTTCGTCATGCCTTTCTCAGGAGAAAGGGTAATCTTCATGCAGTTCAGAGTCAAACATTTCTCCTGTCATCTTTATCATGCCCTCTCCCAGTTCCTCACAAGTTATTCCCTCTATTTTATGTTTTCAAATGCCTGAATTCTTAAGGAAAAAAAAACTAACATTAAAAGATCAAACAGCCCAACCTTGCACTGAGTGTCCATTTACAGTCAATTTCCCTATCAGAATTATCTATACACAGGGTCTCACCTCCTGTTGAGTCCTCAACCTTTAATGAGGCCTCTGCCTCCACCACTGCCCTGAAATTGCTAAGAGGCAAAGGCCTCCTCTACACCAGTTCCAACATCCCTTTTCTGGCCTAACTTTATTGCTTTTCTGTGGCATCTAACTCCTCTGACTCCTTTATTTTCCTTGAAATTTGGCTGTGGTGCCACCCATTTCTCCTCTCTACAACTCCGACTGAAAGTTCAGCCTGACTTGTTCTTTCCTTTTCTTACTGTCCCTTGAATGGTGGTATTTCTCAAGATTCTATCTTTGCCTTTTATATTTTCTCAAGTCCATATTCTGTTCAGATGCTACCCTCCACATCCACTGCTGTTACTATCGTTTATACACTGATGACTCCAAACTATCTTCAGTTCAGACCTCTCTTCTGAAATCCTGGTATTATTTGGATGTTTCAAAGGCACCTCAAACTCAAAGTATTCCAAACTTATTAGCTTCTTCTTTTTAGCTGACTTCTCCTCCTGTGGTTCCTCCACTCACTCAGGCCCCTAAGCAAGATCCTCTGGAGCTATTGCCAACTCTCTTTACTCACCAGCTCCACATCTTAATGTGCTTAAAGCACTGGCAAGTTTAATTTCTTTGTTATTTCATAGCTATCCCCATTACAAACTTAATGCCTCACAGATTGTTGAAAAATAAATGATGTACCACATATGCCTGTCATCTGATAAAAATGTTAACTGAATCCAAATCTTAAAAACCAGCATTTCCTGGTGTTGAATTGCTTGGTATCCAGTGGGAATTAACAATTCGTCTTCCATGTCATCAAAATTTATGTGATTCCCACACTATACAGGAAGAGAAAGTCACTAAATACAGTCTTCTGGCTTTAAAGATTTATGCCACTGGTGGTTCCTGAAATCAGAGGGTTGCTTTGAATTTGAAATCCTTAGTGACTCCTGATATGATTTAGGATTCCAGTGGAAATAGGTGTAGCAAGGGCCTGAAATGTATAAATTTTCTGACTGTTTTATTTTAAGAGCTACCACTAATTCAAATCTGTGCTAAAGCATTGTTAAGCAGGAAATTTACAGCACTAAATGCCCACATCAGAAAGCTGGAAAAATCTGAGATCAATAACCAAACATCACAATTAAAAGAGCTAGAGAAGCAAGTGCAAACAAACTTAAAAGCTAGCAGAAGACAATAAATAACTAAGATCAGAGCAGAACTGAAGGGACAGAGACACAAAAATCCCTTCAAAAATCAATGAATCCAGGAGCTGGTTTTTTGAAAAGATCAACAAAATAGACTGCTAGCCAGACTAATAAAGAAAAGAGAGAAGAATCAAATAGATGCAATAAAAAATGACAAAGGGGATATCACTCCTGATGAAATACAAACTACCATCAGAAAATACTATAAACACTTCTATGCAAATACATGGAAAAATCTAGAAGAAATGGATACATTTCTGAACTTATACACCCTCCCAAGACTAAATCAAGAAGAAGTCAAATTCCTGACAAGATCAATAGCAATATTCCTGAATAGACCAATACTAAAACTGAGGTAGTAACTAATAGCCTATCAACTAAAAAAAGTCCAGGACCAGACGGATTCACAGCCGAATTCTACCAGAAGTACAAAGAAGAGCTGGTACCATTCCTTCTGAAACTATTCCAAACAACAGAAAAAGAGGGACTCCTCTCTAACTCATTTTATGAGAGCAGCATCATTCTGATACCAAAATCTGGCAGAGATGCAACAAAATAAATAAATAAATAAAATTCAGGCCAATATCCCTGATGGGCATCGATGTAAAACTCCTAAATAAAGTACTGGCAAACCGAATCCAGCAACACATCAAAAAGCTTATCTACCACGATCAAGTTGGCTTCATCCCTGGGACACAAATAGAGATTTAACTGGGAAGAACAGAGCCTGAATTCAAGGGAGAACAAGAATTAGCCCAGAAGATCTATTTCTTAATTGTTTTTCTGTAAAGGGGCTCCAACTTTTGATATGTTTTGTTTAGCTCTTCTTTTCTAACGAAAAGTAAAATTTTGCTAATTATAGTTGTGGTTGTGTCTTGTTTTCAATTTTAGGGTGACACTCGCTAACTAACTGAATAAGAATTGGCCATTTCCTTCTGAGATCACACACTGGTACATTCTACCTGCTATATCCCTTGGTGGTTTGTCATAGACCATATTGGTTGACCACTGGTTATGTCCAGCTAAAGTTCCGGAAAGTTTATTAGGATGAAGAAATGCAGACACTGGTCAGATTTTTCAAGGAATATGCAACTAAGTGGAGTAAACAAAATTTGGCTCTCTCTCTTAATAAGAAAAATACTGAGTATTTTGTCATATGATGTTTCCAGAGCTGGGAGGATGCATCCAACACAGACTTCTTCAGTGTTACTGAAGAGATATTAGCTTCCAAAGCTGGCGAAGTAAACTGAAATATAACAACCACCCAGAGTCTACAGCCCAACTGGAGACACTTAACAATGAGTAATATCATATCCTTTAACATTTACTGTGTTAGTTAACATTTAGCAGATCCTTGTTAAAGTAGTAGCAGATCTTTCTTAAAGTAGTCTCTTCAGTTACAAAAGTTTTAATATCATTCTCTTATTTAAAGCATTTGATTTTCCAAATTTCTCCTTTTGTCTCTCATAAACAGGGAGAAGAGGAAACTTTCCACTTATTCATCATCATTCATTCTGACTGCTAAAGAGATCCAGGCTCCTAACAGCTAATAAATGAAATGGAGAGGCTTTAGAACACAGTAAATAAATGTACAGGACACTGAGGGAGGTATTTCTGATTCCTGGCAACTGCAAACAGTGAATAAACAACCAAAGCAGGCCCTCTCAGTTAACAGCTTGGGCAATATCTGGTGTGGTCATTTAAGAGCACTGCACTATGTCTCTGCCCCAAACATTTCGTCCTCTTTTGCTTTGCTGACAAACAAATTTCTGCTTAATCAAGGTTCTGGGTTTAGAGTAAAGGCTTTTATGAAATAAAAATATTATATAACCCTGTAGTTATGCTGTGCAACTTTCTCAAGCCCTTTATCAGAAAAAAACCAGCTTTACACAATGATGATAAAAACATACTTGGAGCCCAGGAGCCCAGGAGAGGATGTATAATCTCTCTTTATTGTTTCTATGGGTCACTGCTCAGTTGATGAAGAGAGAGCATTTCATGGGTCTCTGACAGTCTTATTGCCCTGATTTTTAAAAGTTTTTTTCTATTCTACCCATTTCCTCTCTTTCTCTCCATGGTTGGATCCTCTCCATTCATTCTTTGTGTCAAAGGTCAAGGAGACACAACAAATCTTTGACTGGGGATTCTAGACCTGTGTCATCCATTAGAGTAGCCACTAGATACACATGGCTATTGAACATGTAAAATGTGACTAGTGTGACTTAACTTTAAATTCAGTTTAATTTGAATTAATTTAGATTTAAAAATTGAAGCTGTTAAACACCACTAAACACAACTTTATTATTTTGGTAGAACTATATTTCACTCCAGCCATTGAAAATTTACCATGAGTTGAGATGGACTAAGAATGTCAAATACACACTGGAGTTCAAAGACCTAATATAAAAAAATAACATAAAATGTCTCATTAAAAATTTTTGTATTGGCCTGGTGTGTGTAGCTCATTCCTATAATCCCAACACTTTGGGAGGTCAAGGTGGGAGGACCACTTGAGGCCAGGATTTAAGACCTGTCTGAGCAACAAAGCAAGACCTCCATCTCTACCAAAAATAGTAATAATAATGATATTTATTATTATTATAGATAATATTTATTATTATATTGAAATAAAATTTTGGATAATTAAAATAAATGATATTAAAACAAATGTCACATTTCTTTTTATTATTTAATGTGGCTATAAGAAAATATAAAATGATAAATGTGGTTCTCATAATTCTAATTGGGCAACATCTGGTTGTTTCGTTTGGATAGCACTGAACTCTCTCTCTGCCCCAAACATTTCTTCCACTTTGGCTTTGCCAAGATGATTGAAAAAAGTCTCTGGTTTGTTCAAGATTTTGTGTTAAGAGTAAAGGCTTTTGTAGAATAAAAATAAATAAGCCTGTAGTTATGCTGTGCAACTTTCTCAAGCCCTTCATCAGAAAGACCCAACTCTTTAGGTTCTCACATTATTCAGGATGCACCCACCTACTGAACACAAGCCATTCTCCTAGTTATATAGTTCACTTTTCACAGCATATATTCAGTGCCAAGAGGCTCCCCTCCTTCCAGGGTGAGAAAAACAAGGGATGGGGAACAAACCTCATCCTGAAGCCATCATCAGTTCCAATACTCAGCATCACTGAGAATACCAGATTAAGCTGCCTTCAGCAGGGTGGGGAACAAAGACATTGGGCCAAGGGACTTTTGATGGTTGGGTTAGGAGAGAAAAAAGAGGAAAGTATAGACGGGTGGGAGAATACTCCAAGGCATGGAATGTTTTTAGGATAGCTAGTTGGGTGCTGATTTAAGAGAGAGGGTCTTAGGCATGATTATCTTGGGTTTCTAGGAGGAATGCATATATTATAAATGAGAAAGAGGCAACTGAGCAGAAGATGGAAAAATATCCTAAAAAGAAGCTTTGAGATAGATTATTGGCAAGAATTCTTATGGAAGCATCAGTTTAAAATACATGACATTGTGATACCCCTTCTAATGTCAAATATCTTCTTCCAGATTCTACTCCTGGTCTTCTGTGGAGCAGACTTAAAGGTTCTTTCATTGATGCTGCATCTGTGTGCCAATGACCATATTTCATCCTTTATGCCTATTGCAATGTCCCTTTGAAGAGGCAGTTGAGTAGGTGGGGAACAAACAATTCCTCTGCAGTGTTCTATGGTCCAAAAATGTAGAATTTCAGTGGTCATTTATGTCATTTAACCCCATTGATACAGTTTTAGATCTTTATTGCATCCAATGCCCTGATTTTAAAGGGGTGGGGGAAGAGAGAAAGAGAGACAGACTGAGAGATTATGTGCCTTGCCTAGGATCAGTCACAACTCAGGATCAGCTGAAGCCGCTAGAAACAGAACTGAACTGGGTCTCAGGACTGGTTCCTGAATCCTAGTTGATGTCTTTTGCTAACATATCACTTATACAAGTTTTTATGTATTTTGATTGATTATTTTTAAATTTTTATTTTTTGTGGGTACATAGTAGGTATACATATTTATGGGATACATGAGATATTTTCATATAGGCATATAATGCATAACAATCACCTTGGGTAAATGGGGTATCCATTACCTCAAGCATTTATCTTTTTTGTCACAAACAATCCATTTATAATCTTAATTATTAATAAGTGTACAAACATTTTTTATCAATTACAGTCACCCTGTTGTACTATCAAGCACTAGATCTTATTCATTCTTGTTCTCTTTCTTTCTTTTTTTTTTTTTTTAAGACAGTGTCTCACTCTGTTGCCCAGGCTGGAGCGCAGTGGCACGATCATGGCTCACTGCAGCCTCAATCTCCTGGCCTCCCACCTCAGCTTTCCAAGTAGCTGGGACCACACGTATGCACTATATATATATGACGCATATATATATATATATATGGAATTGTTTTCTGTAGAGACAGGAGTCTATGTTATCCAGGCTGGTCTCAAACTCCTGGGCTTAAGCAATTCTCCCACTTAGACATCTCAAAGTGTGGGGATTACAGGCTTGTGCCACCATGCCTGGACCAGGTTTTATTCATTCTATCTAACTATATTTTTGTACCTATTAACCATCTCCACTCCTCCTGACACTATCCTTGCCAGCCGTTGATATCTATCATTTTACTCTATATCTTTATGAGTTCCATTATTTTAATTTTTAGCTCCTACAAGTAAGTGAGAATATGCAGTCTGTCTGTCTGTCCTGACATATTTCCCTGAGCATAATCATCTGTAGTTCCATCCATGTTGTTGCAAATGACAGGATCTTATTCTTCTTTATGGCTGAATAGTACTCCATTGTGTATATGTACCACATTTTCTTTATTCATTCATCTATTGAAGAACACTAAGATTTCTTCCAAATCTTAGCTATTGTGAATAGTGCTACAATAAACAAGTGAGTGCAGACATCTTTTTGATATACTGATTTCCTTTATTTTTGATATATACCCAGCAGTAGGATTGCTGGATCATATGACAGTTCTATGTTTTATTTTATGAGGGACCTCCAAACCATTCTCCATCGTGGTTATACTAATTTATATTCCCACCAACAGTGTACCAGCGTTCCCTCTTCTCCACATCTTTGCAAGTATTCATTATTGCTTGTTTTGGATAAAAGCCACATTAACCTAGGGTGAGATGTTATCTCATTATAGTTTTGATTTGCATTTCTCTGATGATCAATGATGGTGCGCACCTTATCATATACCTGTTTGCTATTTCTACGTCTTCTTTTGAGAAATGTCTATTCAGATCTTTTGCCCATTTTATTGGTTTTTTTTCCTATGGAGTTGTTTGAAGTCCTTATATTTTCTGGTTATTAATAACACAAGGGTGTCAGATAGGTAGTTTAAAAATATTTTCTCCAATTCTGTAGGGTGGTATCACGCTAATTATAACTTGCACTTACAGTTTGGGCTCTCTGCAGAACCTAGTAGATTCTGGGCTGCCTATAGGCTGCCCTTGTGTGTCAATGGTCTGGTGAAGATTACTGTGTATTTAACCCAGTACCTTTGAATTTTAAATATGTTCTGGTCACAGAGAAAACCTTCTCTGGAAGATTTTTTAGGAGATAAAAATGATGGTAGAAATTCTAAATTAATAAGCTTTGGGGTAAGAAAGTATTTCCAAAGAATATTATTCTTTATTTTAGAAATTTCCTGACCTGACCATCAAGCAATATTTTATGAGAAAAGGAAGAATTTGGTTAATATCAGCTATATTAAAACTAATTAAAATTAAATGCTATTTATAAATGTTTCAAAATCATCATCGAATAAATAGCTTAACTTGGTGATTACAAACCAAGGATAACTTCAGGAGGCTAAAGCTATAAGCCAAGCTAATATATGAGAAAAATCACATCATTTTTTATAAATATGGAAAAGTGTTAAAAATGGAACTGTTTCTGTAAGGAATGCAATATACAGTATCTAGAAACTACTGTATATATAGTAAACTCTATGCTATATCATTTATTTTTTTTCAGCAAAGAGATAAATACATAACTGTATTGGTGGTGCTTTTTTACCCCATTACCATAAGTAAATGGAATGAATAGCTTCTCTGAGGATGGATAGCGTAATATGTGGAATTCCTGCTTGCTATCTTATAGGTAGTTATTTGCATATGAAATCTTGCAGACATGAGACTGAAAATGTATGATTTATAAGCAAAAGGGAAAAAAAGCCCTTTAAATTCTCATGTCTTGGATTTCACATTTATGGTGATTTATAAGCCTTTCAAAGCTCATGTTATTAAGCAATTCAAAATTTCTACGCCTATACCTGTTTAGTTAATATTAACTCAACTAGCTACCCTGTGGCATTTTCCGTGCTGTTCTTCATTTTTTCCGTCTATATTTTTTCTCCTCTTGTTTTTTTAGAAACTTTATTCCTATTTCTGTTACACTGTCACCTTTTAGTCTGTCTTGCAAGAATGTAACATCAGCAGTCAAATGAACCTAGGAAAGAAGAAAAGAACAGGTTTGTATCATTTAATTTTTAAAAATAGAAAATTTTTCTCAGTCTTTTTCAGCTTTTGTTACTTTCCATATGAAATTATTTAAAAAATAACTTGTTCTGTGGATGAAGGGCCCTTTATGAAGTGTCCTTCAGAGATGGTCCAGCAGTGTGTCAGCTCTGTGGTGTGAATCTGCAAAGAGAAGGGTGGTCCAGGCCAACTAGGATGACTGGGACACCCAGACATGTAAGCCTCTCCCAAGCTTAGCTCACTGTGCAAGGCTGAACTATGGATCCATCTTTAGAAGAACACAAATTCCCAGCTCGAAGATAGCCTTGACCCAGTGCGCTTAGCCAGCAGAATTTCCAAGGATACATGGATTCTTAAGTGATTGCTCTCAAACAGATTTGCCCCAAATCATTCTGTCGTTAGCTAAATTGCATAATCGCTTGTCCTAACAACATTTAGCAGCACTTATGGCTTTGCGAGCTTTAAGGAAAATATCAATTAAATGAATTATAGATATAAAATTAAAGATTGAAATTACAGACATGAATATTTGATACTCAAGCCTTCTTTTCCTCTGTAAGGTATTTCCCATTTCCCAGACACTGAAGTAACCTGGGCTTACTTCTTTATTCATTAAAATGTGTCCACATAAGAGCACCATGATGCTGCTGACCTATAGTGTATTTATTGAAAGTTACTTTGATTTATTGGGATAAATAAGATAAATAAGTAAAAGCATCTAGTGAAAGCAAATAATATGTGAAAAATGCCTACATGTAGCAGGCAATTAAATCATATTCATTGACTCTTACCTGACTCACTCCCCTCCCTCACTAAGAATTTCTTAGCTAGCCAGTCTCAATTTGTTAAACCATGAGTGTACCAAATTATCCAGCCCATACTGGGGGCCTTGCAATGCCTACCATTTAATAGAAGGATTTAGATTGCACTTGGAAATACAGAAGCAAAATTCATCCTCAACTTTTTCTTCCATAAGATTTTTAAAGTGTATGTCAAAATTTAACAGAAAATAAATTAACAAGGAGACAATGTTGAAGCTATTTGGGTATTTGGGGCCACATGAGATCTGACACCAGCTATCATTCAGCAAATATACTCAACTGTTATCTATGAGAGTTGAAGATATTGTTACCCTATTTTTGACTTGGTTTTATTGTTTCTCCCTTTGCCCATAAACTCCCAGAGTGCTTTTCCACCCCTTCCTTGACATCATGGCCACTGACTATAGGACAAATCTAAAAAGATGTTAGGGTAGAAACATGGAGAATCTGTGTGAACAATACGTTATTTCTATTGTCTTTTGATTTTTCATTATTTGTTATTCTATTTCCCCCTAACTATCACAAATAATTAAAAATTATATGCATGCCTCATTACTGGGTAACTCATTACATGGCAAGACTTTGGTTACTATCTGGTCCCGCCATTCTCAAAAGCTAAGCTTCCGGGAGAATGAGACTCCTCTTCTTAAACTGTTGTTGGTTCACCAATCTGTGACAGATTTTCTTCTTTCCCTCCGCTTTCCCAAAAGAGCTTTTACCAAGGCCTTCCCTGGCCTTTTGATTCTTAAATGTTGTGAATATATTTCAGGTCTGGTTTAACTTAGATCCTCTGCTGTACTTGTTCTTATTAATCACTCTCTCTTCTTGAAATGCTCTCCTTCCTTGTTTCTATGACTCCTTTTTTTCCTACCTCTGATTTCTCTTTCTTAGTATCTTCTTCAGCCTTTGTGCTCTCTGTTTAACCTACTTATTATATTTTATTGCTTCCTACAGTTCTGTTACTCCCTTTGCTTCTTGGTCTACAGACCCTGCCTAGTCATTCTTTTCCAATTCGAATGCTTTTTCAATTAATGTCTTTCTGTGAGCTCCAAACAGGGATAAACAACTACTTGATGGATAGCCTCACTTGTATGTGTTAAACGCCTCAACCCCAGCAGGCTCAAAATTGAACACCTCACTTTGTCTCTACCGAGCCCAAATGTACTACTCTTAGCTTTGTTCTTGGTTTAATAGTACAACCATCCCTACAGCTTGCTCAGGAACCTGCAAGTCATTCTTGAAACTTTTTTTCAATTTTGTCCCTTTCAGCCAATTCCTAACCTAGTCTTACTTGTTCTTTTTGTTGTTGGTCAAATAATCTTCCTCTCCCCATTCCTGCTGTAAGGGCTCTGTTCTGGTTTTACCTGAGGTTACCATCATAACTTCCAAAGTGCCCTCATCCTTTCCTTCAGCATTGTTTCCTCTGATATACGTTCACTGGGTTGATAAAGGAATGAAATTTCTAAAACACAAATTTCAAAATATTATTCCACTGCTTATAGACCTTTATTGACTTCTGTTGCTTTCAATATAAAAATCTCAATTTCCAAGCTTGTCATATACATCCCTTTTTTAAAAGTCAGACTTCTATAAAGAATTTAAACCTCCTTTCTCATGACAATCTGCCTCTCAATTTATAAGTCAGTCATACTGAACTAATTCAAGTTCCTTGTTCCTTGATTCAAACAATCCTTTTATACCTTTGGACATGCTGATTCTTCTGTTATATTATTTTCTCCTGCTCCTCTTACCCAAGGCTTTTATCTAACTCCATTTTTTTTCCTTCAAAAGCCAATTAAAAGTTTCCTTAGGAAGTCTAGGAAGTCTTTCCTGCCACAGATCCTTTCATAGCCTTATTATACTTCTTCGTACATCTGATTTTCCATTAGACAGAAGATGATTTAAGGGCAGCAACTGTGTCTTGTTCATCTGTGCATACTCAATACCTGACACTTAGCAGATATTAATAATGTTTTAGTTAAACCAATGAATAATTCAAGTGTAAAATCCAGCCTCTAAAATGGCCTGCAATGTCATTCACATCCTCAGGTAGCCCCCTCCCACATGGCACCAGGGTTGGTAGCATAAGTAGCTATATTGTGATTAGATCTACAAAGAGGTCCATGTGGCCAGGAACTTCATGAAGCCTCCTGACAACTGCCAGTAAGGCACTGGGGCTATCTGAGTGAGCTTGGGAGTAGATTCTCCAGCCTCAGTCAAGTCAACAGAGGCTGTAGCCCTGGCCAGCAGCTTGACTGCATGTGTATTAAGCCATGAAAGACTTTGAGTGACAACCACCTAGCTAAACTGCTCCCAGATTTCTGATTCTCAGAAACTGTGTGAGGTAATAAATGTTTGTTTTTGTAAGCTGCTACATTTTGGGGGTAATTTGTAACATACCATTAGATAATCAATGTACCTAGCAAAATGAATTAGGTATAATGGTTATCTTATCTTAGCCTTAGAAGGACTAAGAGAGTCTCCATTCATTCTTCACTTATTCAACTTTACCATTTCCAAGGCACCTCTGATAATCCCACAGAGCAAGTTGCAGTAGCACAGAGAAGATCGCCCAGCAGGGAGCTCTTCCACAAACTCCACCAGAGGATTCTTGTCTAGAATCAGGGAAAATTCATTTCTGCTTGAATTGTTACAGGTCACACTTGGTGTAATTCCCAGGTACATCTTGAAAGCAACCTGATAAGAAGAAAACAAAATTACTAAAACTTGGTCTAGAACCAATAACTATTAGCAGACTAAGCAAATACCCTGTGATAGGCATTACTGCACAATGGTTAAGCACATGGAGTCTATAGTCAGGAGGTCTGGCTTCACCCTTAGCTTTGCAATTTATTGATCCTATAATGTGAAGTTTTTAAATATTTTTACTTGTAAGAGGCTAATTTTTGGAAATAATATGGTTTGTAAAAAATGACATTAAAGCATTATTTTCAATCAACTTTTTAAGAGATGTATATCCTTTAGGGGAGTAAGAAATTAAAATACTATTAGTCATCAACATATCAGCTGATATTTGCCACACTGATCCTAGCAAAGTATAAAACCCTGGATTAGAAGGGACCCAGGTCACATTTGCCACAACAATAAGGTGATAATCAAAGCAGAGGATGCTAGGGACAGATTAGACACAGATTAGACCCAATAATTCATTTTGGGAAGTGGAGGGAATAATTTTGGAGTGGTCATCCCTTATCTGTGGTCTCAATTACCTGTGGTCAACATTGTTTGAAAATATTAGGTAGAAAATTCCAGAAATAAAGAATTTATACATTTTAAGTTGTGCTTCTGAGTAGTGTGATGAAACCTCTCACTGCCCCCTCTCCATACTGCCCAGAACGTGAATCATCCCTTTGTCCAGTGTATTCACACTGTTTATGCTATGACCTGCCCATGGGTCACTTAGTAGCTGCCTCAGTTAGCAGATTTTTTTAAAACATAGTATATACAGGGTTTGATACTATCTGAAGTTTTAGATATCTACTGGGGGTCTTAGTTGCAGGTATCCCCCGTGGGTAACAGGTGACTACTCTACTGTGGAAGACAAATCTCTAAAGAGCACGTGGTAGTGGTGGGAGGCACATAAATGAATTGTCGAGTAACTTCACAAAAGTCTGCTGTTTTTATGGGGCTTGAAGAATTTTACAATGTGGAAATGGAAGAAATCTTGCAGACTATGTCTTTTAAGCCCTTAGTTTCATAAATAGGTAAACTGGTGTGCAGAGAAGTCAAATGATACTGCCAAGATCATGCTATAACTTAATTCCTTGGTTCCTAATCCAGAGCAATTTCTTTTCACAAAACACAAAGGCCTGGACTTTGAAGTTTATTAATAAAATTTTGTCAGCTTGATATGTTGCCATCTTTCAAGTGTGGGAATTAATTTTTAAAATTAAGAGCTGTGTAGGAAAGAAATGGAAGCAATTTTCTTAAATTACAATCTGAAGAATTAAGAGATTCCTCATTTATTCTTCATTTATTTCAGCAGACACTTCTTGAGCACTACCAGTCTAGCACAGTACCTGGCACACAGTAGCCATTTGCAAGATAAATTATAGAGGGCATCTATTCTGTGTTTGAGACTATGTTTAGTCTCAAACATAGAAAATGCATGGTATTGATTGAATGTTTGCCAGGTAGGCAAGACTGGGGGCCTGGAGGGAAGTGACGAAGACATTCTAGGTGGTGGGAACATGTCATGAGCATAAAATACCATGATGGGGTTCAGAGAAACTCTACGTCTATCAACTTGTGAGCAGTTGTGGGCCTCAAAGGTGTGAGCTGGCTAATGCAGAATTGAATTTCAGTTTTAGGGGGATCCTGCTCTTGTCAGCATAGAGGATGGATTTAGGGTTATGGGTGGGAGTGAGCATGAGGTCAAGGACAGAGATACTAATCAAAGTTTTCTCTTATAGCCTAGGAAAGAAATGAAAAGGACTCTTCTAATTTTGATTTTCCTTCAAAACTCAAACTCTCCCAAAACTTTTCCATGTAAAATGCACATATCCCAAATCCTAAAATTTGATCTCTAACACTAGCCATTTTAGGAAGATAGAAAATGAAAGGGGAAAAGTTGAAGGCATTCCCCCTAAGAAGTGCAACAAGACAGGGATGTCTGCTTTCACCACTTCTATTCAACATAGTGCTGTTAATAAAAATCCCATCCATAGCAATTAGGCAAGAGAAATAAATAAAGGGCAACTAAATCAGAAAAGAGGAAGTCAAACTATCTCTGTTTGTAAGGTTTAATCGTATACCTAGAAAACCCCTTAACACTCCTCCAAAAGACTACTAAGTTTGATAAATGAGTTTAGTAAAGTCTTAGTTTACAAAACTAATGTACACAAATCAGTAGCCCTGCTATACACCAACAACAACCATGCTGGGAGTCAAATCAAGAACTCAATCTCTTTTACAATAGTTGCAAAAAAACAAAAAACAAAAAAACCCACTGAGGAATATACTTAATCAAAGAGGTGAAAGAGCTCTACAAAGAGAACTATAAAACACTACTGAACAAAGTCATAGATGACACAAACACAGGGAAATACACACCATGCCCCTGGATTGGAAGAATCAATATTGTGAAAATCACCATACTGACCGAAGCAATCTACAGATTCAATGCAATTCCTATCAAAATACCAACATCATTTTTCACAGAATTAGAAAAAAGCAATTCTAAAATTCATATGGAACCAAAAAAAAAAAAGCCCCAATAGCCAAAGCGATCTCAAGCAAAAAAATAAATCTAGAGGCATCACATTACCTGATTTCAAACTATACTACAAAGGTATAGCTATCAAAACAGATTTGTACAGGTATAAAAGTAGATACATAGACCATTGGAACAGAATAGAGAACCCAGAACCAACTGATCTTTGACAAAGCATACAAAAACATAAATTAGAGAAAGGATACTCTATCCATAAAAAGGTGCTTGGAAAATGAGATAGCCACATGTAGAAGAATGAAACTGGAGAATGAGATAGCCACATGTAGAAGAATGAAACTGGTACCTGTCACTTACCATACACAAAAATCAACTCAAGATGGATCAAAGACTTACGTGAAACCATAAAATTTCTAGAATAAAACTTAATAAAAACTCTTCTGGATATTGGCTTAGGCAAAGAATTTATGACTAAGACCCAAAAAGCAAATGCAACAAAACCAAGAATAAATAAATGGGACCTAATTAAACTAAAAAGCTTCTGTACAGCAAAAGAAATAAACATCAGAGTAAACGGGCAACCCTCAAAAGGAGAGAAAATATTTGTAAACTATGCATCTGACTAAGGACTAATACCAATTATCTACAAGGAACTCAAACAAATCAGTAAGAAAACAACAAATAATCCCATCAAAAAGTGGGCAAATGACATCAAGACACTTCTCAAAAGAAGATGACCAGCAAACATACAAATGACCAACAAACATAAAAAAAAATGCTCAACATCACTAATCATCAGGGAAATGTAACCTAAAACCACCAGATATCATTTTACCTCAGCCATAATGACTGTTACTAAAAAGGCAAAAAACAATAGATGTTGGTATGAATTTGGTGAAAAGAGAATGCTTGTAGAATTCTGGTAGGAATGTGAATTAGTACAAACTCCATAAAAAACAGTACAGAGATTTCTTTCTTTCCTTCTATTTATTTATTTATTTATTCATTCATTTATTTTTGAGACAGGGTCTTGCACTGTCACCCAGACTGGAATGGAGTTGCCTGATTTGGCTCACCACAACCTCAGCCTCCTGGACTCAAGTGATCTCCCATCTCTGCCTCCCAAATAGCTGGGACTACAGGTGCATGCCACCAAGCCTGGTTAATTTTTTTTTTTTGGTATTTTTTTTATAGAGATGGAGATTCACCATGTTGCCCAGGTTGGTATTGAGCTCCTGGGCTCAAGCAATCCACCTGCCTCGGCCTCCCAAAATGCTAGGATTACAGGTATGAACCACCACACCTGGCCATGGAGATTTCTTTAAGAAATAAAAGTAAATCTACTATTCATTCCAGCAATCCCACTACTGGGTATCTACCCAGAGGAAAAGAATTCATTATATATATATATTTTTTTTTAAACCTGCACATGTATATTTATTACAAAACAATTCACAATTGCACAGATATGAAACTAATCTAAGTACCCATCAACTGATAAACAAAGAAAATGTGGTGTATATTCACCATGGAATACTACTCAGACACAAAAAGATAATGAAATAATGTCTTTTGCAGCAACCTGATGGAGCTGGAGGCCAATATTCCAAGTGAAGTAACTCAGGAAGGAAAAACCAAAAACCGTAGTTCTCACTTATAAGTAGGAAGCAAGCTATGTGTATATAAAGGCATATGGAGTGGTATAATGGACTTTGGAGACTCAGAAAGAGGAAGAGTGGGAGGGGAGTGAGAGATAAAAAAGTACGTATTGGGTACACATATTGGGTGACAGGTGTACTAAAATCTCAGAATTCACCACTATATACGTGTGTGTGTGTGTGTGTGTGTGTGTGTGTAATTCATTCACGTAACCAAAACCCACTTGTACCCCAAAAGTCATATATATATATACACACATTATATATTATATATATATTATATATATATAATGTGTATATATATGAAAACAGAAAGCAAATCTCTGTCTTCTAAATCTTAAGTCATAGCAAGAGAAAAATTTCATCATAAAATTCTAGGTTTGGAAATTTGATTTGTCTCCTGATCAACTGGCTGAAACATCTTTCTGTTAATGTTGATTCCTTACACTGGAAAATTCCTAGACTATTATTTTGTATGAGTGAGAATTTCTTTTCTAGTTTTCAATCCAAACCACATAGAAAGAATGTAAAAATGGAGGCTGTGCACTTTGAATTTATTCTCAGCATTTAGGCTGCAGTATTACAGCCCAATATTCACCAGTAGGAGGCATTATCTAAACATGTTGAGAAATTTTCATTCCTAGGGAATGACATTGTTTCCTTATCTGGCTGAATTCAGTCTGAGAAGAAGGACTGTTGTTTCTAATGAAGAAAGAGCTCCACCCTCGGGCACTGCCACAGCTGCTCTGCCAATAACAAAGGCATAGCATTTTCCCTCTTGTGCATCTACAACATGGATGCTTTTCAGGGCATTTTAAAATTCTTCCTTAATCAGAAAACTGTTATCG